TCCACCTATATGGAAGGGAAGTTATGAAAGAGACAAAATATATTATGCGAGATTTAAAGGTAAGTAAGGAAATGGTAACGAAGGTACGAGATACTCAAGTGCAGAAGCTTGGTAATAGTCCAGACTTCAGATAGAGGGCTAGAAACGTCGTGATTCAGTATCCATAAATGATAGTGGTGTCATTACTAGCATATCTTACACCCTATGGTTCCAGGTACTGAGAGGTCTAGTTAAGAGAGTACAAAAGAGCTAGAGATGCGTGATGTTTTGCTTGAGGTTCCAGAATAACATAAGGAAATGTATGGTGCTAGAAAGTGAAAGGAAGGTTGTGAGTACCATAAATAGATATGTGTAGGTCTCAAGCTAAAGTATGGTAGAGCAACAAGGTTTTAGGTGGACAGGAGTAAGGATAAGAAAAGGTGAGTGAGAAGGTGACGAGAATAGGCAAGTCCTCGGGATTAAGCCCATCACAACAAAAGAGCTGATGGTTTCCATAAGTTATAAAAAGCTCAGTATAGCCTGAGTGAACTCAAAGGAGTTTAAGCCTAAGAGAATTTAGAAGAGATGGAATGCTTCCCTGGTGGTAGAATAAGGGTGTAATTGTGATAGATAAAAGGATGACGTTCAGGCCTTTAATTGGGTAATGATTTTGAGAAAAGGTATTTCATAAATTGCACGGGATTAGAATACCCCCCCCCCCCCCAAGATGAATTACATTGGGATTCTATGAAATACGATTATTAAAGTATAGTATTAACCCTAAGTGGATCAAGCAAATAACTCCAGATGTTCCCCAATGAGACGTGAGTCCTAGTGATAATATATTACATAAGAGTTTCAAGTTACCAGTGGTAGATTATAGATCAACATTAAGGTGAATCAACAATAGTTGGATAAAAGTTCCAAAGTACGAGATGAGATTTATTTATCATTCTTAAGATGAACTGTAATGAGGAAGCATGAGGGGACTTAAATTTATACATAGAGGATAAGCGACGAGAGAGTAACCTGGAGTTGGGTAGCAGACCTTGGTCATAATAAATCAAAGTAAGTGTTGTGGTATGGTACAAGCTACCTAGATACAGTAAAGCCATAAGCATAGCTAACCGAGGTTATGAAACAAGATATAGCAATAGTCATAAGTTCGACAAAGTACCGAGCGAAAAACTTCAGTACACCTATATATTTCCATAGGGACAGCTTGTCATAGTTCTGTATATATTCACAAAGTGAGGCCTAGAGATTGGCTAAAATATGAAGGAAAAAAGAGAGAAGGGTCACATAGGTGCACATATAAGGACAGATTCGTACAAGCTGCAGGACATAAGGTAGCAACAATTACGGGATCGGAAAATCTCCGACCACAAGTCGTGGTGTGAGAAAGAGGCCTAAAGGGGGGAATACCCTGGAATTTGGATTGATTCACAGATTAGTTGCCTAGATGGAAAGGACTGTAGTAAAGTATTTGTAAGAGCTATAGGTTATGAGACTGATCAGCACATCAGTCTACATTTGAGGACGAATGTTCCAAAGGGGGGAATGATGTTACACCCCATGTTTTCGTACGTAAGAGTACGTCGTAAGTAAATTGATGTAAGCTCAGAAATGAAATCATCTTTGAAAAGTTTACAAAGTTAGTTAATCATGTTAACGTGGAGTTTACAAATATTGAAGATTATGAACAACAAGTACAAAGAGGGTTGGAAGGTTCATAAGCTAAAGGAATTGAAGAAAACAAGGTTTCGTCGAAAGTCGACAAGTTGGGAATGTAATAACATGTACTTTTGGGGGTGAGACTAGGGTGCTTAACATGATAAGGAGGTTATGTTATGAATTAGGTTAGTCGTTTGATAGTCGTGTGTTATGTTTTGAAGTCAAGCGAGTTGTGGAATAAAAGTCGATGAAAGTCATCACAAGTTACGTTCATAAGTTTTGCTGAAAATTTGGGTCAAATGTAACTGCAATTTTCTCCCGATATATTTAAATTTATGGGGTGTTCAACCCATACAGTTGAATCTCTATGAGTCTACTTCCTAACACATTAAACCGTTTGTTAATACGACATCGGAGTAGAGAGATATGGGCATTTTTGTGAGACTGCATAGGCTGCTAGGTGACAAGTAGGTGTGTCACCTACTTGCTTAAATGAGAGCCCAAAAATGGGCCATTTCGGGTCGTCCAAAGAGGCCTTTTAAAGGCCTATTTTCTTCATATATTAGACTGAAAATAGGTCATATAAACCAGACATAATCTATGCAAAAATCCTCCTAAAAATTTTCCACAAACCCTAATTGATTTTCTCTCCCTTTCAAGTTCTAATTGGAGGTAAAACCTAAAGTTTGAAAAATCAAGTTAGGAGCTGAGTTATCCAACAAATAAGGTGAGTCTACTGCTCTCTTTCATCCATTTTTTTCTGCTGTAAATTCATGGTAAGTCGTTCTATACTTGTAAGAACTCACGTGACGGTGATCGGAAGCCGTGAGTTCGAGTTATTCACTTGTAGCGGACTGTTTTGTGGATTGTTTTGTGTTGCTGTTGGACTGCGTGTTTTACTACTGTTTTGTGGAGTTTTGGAGGAGGAAGGGTGTGGAGAAGCACCATATAACTGCAGGGTGGAGGTCTGGTCATTCGTCGTAACATTTCCGGGTCGTTTGACACTACTACGGTGGTCGTTTTGTGTATGAAGAGATTGAGGTGTGTTGGGCTGTTTTGTAGTATTTGATGGTGTATATAAGGTTGGAAAATAATGTATATATGTTGTTATTGTTGTGTTCTTGTGTTGTTAATGTTATTTTGAATTTGGAGGAAGTAAGGATTATAGGGGAGATGCTGCCCGTTTTAATACAAAATAAGTTTGTCGTTCGTTGTGCGATAGTTGTACCTTTCGTAACATAATGATAGTATTATTATCATTGTTGTAGATTAAGGTGAGAAGAGGCGAGTTCAACTTGGTAATTGGAAAGATTGTGATAAGGTATGTTAAGGCTAAACCTTTCTTTCATTTGGCATGATCTAGTAACTACATGTGTTTGACAACGAGAAATAAAGAGATGTTCATACTCCCGAATTTATATACACCATCCTAGTCTCATAAGTTACAGTATTCTCCCTTATTGGGACTTTATATTCAGTTTAGTTTTTTCTTCTGTGAGCCAAGAGAGCAGAGAGTATATATATATACAGTATTACAGTATTTTCACCACCATCGAGCTATAATCGATGGGCAGGCCCCTATTGGGCAACCTCTGATCAGATGGTGAGTTATATACCGAGCCTACTGTGGCCGAGCGCCTATGAGCGAGCCTGGTATGGCCGAGATACAGAGCCTAGTATGGCCGAGCGCCTATGAGCGAGCCTACTACGGCAGAGCAGTTACACATACCGAGCCTTAAAAGGTCGGACAGTTATTTTACTTACTATATTGAGAGAGTTGAGTCAGTATCAGCAGGTAAGCATATTTTCAAATTATCTTTGACTCCCAGTTGCTTTCAGTTATTATATTATCAGTTCAGTTTCAACTTGCAGTTATCCTGTTGCCTTACATACTCGGTACATTATTTCGTACTGACATCCTTTTTGCCGGGGGACACTGCATTTCATGCCTGCAGGTCCTCATTGACAGTTTGACAGACCCTCCCAGCAAACAGAGTCAAACATCAGCTTAGTTGGTAAGCTCCACTTCCTCGGAGTTGCCAGGTCTAGACCTTGGAGTCTATTGTATATATATACAGCTTTGATGGGTATGTTGAGGCCTATCCCGATCATGGTACAGTTCAGTTATCTCTAGAGGCTTGTAGACAATCCTGTATAGTTTGTATATCAGTAGATGTTCATGGCGGCCTCGTCATCCTCCACATATATATATATATATATATATATATATATATATATGAGCTTTTGGGTATGTTTACCCCATAGATGAGAGAGATGTTATTTTCAGACGGTTCAGAATATGGCCTCATCGGCCTAAGTTAAGGGTTACCCCTCCAGAGTCCACAGTTACAGAGTGGTACGCTCGGGCCGAGTACAGCACCAGCTGCCGGCCACGCCTCCCTAGGTTCGGGGCGTGACAGTAAAACTTATGGGTGTTTAATATTAATACCTGCAATTGATTGGGTTAAAGTTATTTAGCCTTATTTATACTTCATAGTTATAATTAATGGTTGCAAATATTGGTTCATGCCTATTTGACTTTGTTCTTACTTGAGAAAGAGGAATTTAGTCTAGGAAAATTTGGCTAACAAATAATTGAACTAGTTCATGTATCGATTAGATTAATTAAAGGATTTGAAATAAAAATAGGGATAATCTAACTTGGACTCATATTCAACTGCTTTGATTTCTACCTATTTGGATTTGAGAGCCAATTTGGGCATAATAACTCTTTAACCGAGAGGTATTGAGTGGGTACTTGTGTATCGAGAGTCATAACAAACCTCATCTACCACGCAAGCATAGATTTACTATACCCATTAGGTTTACACATAGGTTAAGGTTACAACCCTAAGCCTTTCTCTATTTGATAAAACCTCAAAACTTTCAATCATTACTTGTTCATTAGTAAGTCAAACACTATAACATTTTAGGCCTTTAACCACACTCAAAAAATATGGCCTAAGCTTTAGAAAGTGTCGGCTTTGATCAAAGGCCACATTTTTTTTACCTAAGGCAACGCTTTTCATGAGGCAAAGGCCACAGCTTACAATCGCCACGCTCATTGTCACCTTATAAGCAACCCTTTCCAAGCATTGATCAAATAGCAATGTTTGTAAACCGTGGTATTTAATACTATACCCTACTGCCACGCTTTGAAGCGTAGCATTGTCATACATATTTTAACCTTTATAAAAGCATCAATTTTATGTTTAAAAACTATATTTTTTCAATATGCTATAATCGCATTTATTTCGTACATATGAACTTCAGTATGGAAATCTCAAACACTACATTAACTATTAAATAACAAATTTTGTTTGTAAATGGATATACTTGCAAGCAACTTTGAAGAAGAAATATTACATATACTACATCAAATAATGAAACCAATTGTTTCAAGGTGCCTGCCAGCCATTAAACTTACAAAATCATATATATTAATATTTTGTCATAAACATCATAATGGTCTAAAACTCTTCATCATTAGCTTCCGATAAATCAATTTGATCTAGTCCACCATTTTCAATTCCATCTCCAGAATTTTCCTACAAATTTAAAATTAAATTAAAAGTTAGATAGAAACCAATATTGTACAAGTGCAAACTCAAATGAGCATATTTTCACCAATCAAAAGCACAACACTATTAACAGTGAAAAAGTAGTACTACCGGGGCAGGAGACAATGGATGAGAGGACAAACAGAAATCAATAGCCATTTGACATTCAGAGTAATTTCTTATATGTTTCAGTGAGTAGTGGATATAGAACAGCTTACACCACCCCAGGCAAATAACTTTATCCAATCCTATTTAAGTTGGCCTCATTATATAGGAGGACTACAAACTTAACAGTGACCTTCTGATAGAATATGTAATAACAAACTATCCAACTTAGCACTTATCTTCACCAATCAGATGCACAATACTTTCAACAGAGAAATTGATATTTTTTTTAACTGAATCCACTAGGCCTTGTGCCTAGTGCTAATTTTCATAGATATAAAACATAGAATACAAACAAACAAGGTGGAGGGGGACCTGAACCTTACCTCCACAAGTAAGATGGAAATGCACTTGGTCAACCACATATGGTAGTCAAGTTGCACCTGAATACTATGGAAAGTTAGACCTATGGGGATGAACCAATTGTCTATCCAACAATGATAGCCAATTGGTGTTACAAAATAAGTTTTTGGTAAGCCTAGGTCAACTATACAAAAAAGTACAAGTAAACCTATGAATGCTAAACAAAAGGAATGTATAGTTTTCTTCCATGTACAACAAGACCTACATACATTATACATGTAAGAAGGACCACAAGGGAATGGTACATAATCCAAAACAAGGTAATGGACTATCTTCCATTTAGCTTTGACATTGAGGTCAAGGAAAGCCAAATGGAAGATAGTTGACAAAAAGTGTCCAATTGTGGTTGAACTGAGCTGCTGCTGTCTAGAGAATCTGACAGAAAAGAGTGAGCCAGAGGTTGAGTCATTTCCTGTTGCAGTGATCAAGCCTGTGAGTGTTGAAGGAAACTTCTGTTGAGTGCACACTTCTGCCTGCTGGGTTGTCTGATTAATGACTTGTTGCTGTGACGTGTGTGCCTGCTTTGAGCCATGTAGATAAATGAGTGTGTGGGTGAGGGGAGAGACTTGGGTCGACTGATACTTTTTCAGCAGAATGAGCATTAAAAATGCTGATACCACTGACTGAGAGAGTATCAGAGAAATTGATATTTGGAAGCTATTTGCACACGATGTCTCTGGTAGAAGCAGTAACTTTTGAATACATGTACGACCCCTCTTGCATAATACATGATATTTTTATGTTCTTTGTACAAGAAAATAATTCGTTTGATTTCACGAATATGTAGGTAAGATGCTTTTCGCTTCGTCTTATGAATATCCTCAAAGATGATAAAACTAAGGAATAAGAAGAATAAACTTTTAGGTGGTATGAAATATTTTTCTAATTTTCAGGTGGTATGAAACATAAAACACTCTAATGAAGTTGAACATATGTTATAATGGAGTACCGATTTTAGAGAATAACTGGTGGATAAAATCACATTTTCAGCTTCAACAGTAGTATATGTTTCACAATTCTACAGGCAAGAAGCTTGAAAGATAAAGCAATTGTACAACTGGATATAAAAAGTACCAGATATTTCCTAAGTAACCTTGTAGAGTGCATCTGCTTTGTATTCTCAACTAAATTCTGCCAATGTATGTCTCTTTTCATGTGGTTATGAACCAACAACCTAAATACCAAGGGAAAGTTTAAATTACATCACACTAAAAGTCACAAGTTAGCTTCCTGGATGTATTAATGAATAACCATTATTCAGATGAATACCTTGCACATGGGAAAGACTTCAATATGCTAAACACGGATGATGAACCCAAAATCAAGAAAAATTAACTAACTTTGTATGGGTTGTAATATTAAGAATATTTAATATATATTATATTTTTTTTGAAGCATAAAAATACTTGGCAAAGGCCAAAAATCTTTATCTTCCTTACGGAATGCGTTAGTCTCACTTCCAATCAAGGTATCTTGAAACAGAAAGTTTCAAGAAATTCAATCTTTACACGAATATCTATAAATATGAAACTCGCAATTTATAAATCAACTGGCTAGATTGGCATCCAGTTAGATTGATAATAAATTACATATTAGTAGTTATTGTAATGAAGTAATAGCCATTACTTGTTATTGTGCCAATATTTACACGTGCCATAGGAGATATTTTGCAAGCATGAACTAAGTAGAATTTGCAATAGGCAGTGAATCTGCAAATTTTTATTTTTTTCAGTATCAATAGATAGGCAAAATGCAGGTAAAACAGGAAATAATGAACCTAATTAATCACAGAATTTAGATTATATTAGTAACATTCTCAAGAATGGAGAAATAAAAGGAACCTAAGCATATAAGTTAGATTATTACCGTAAGGTTATTAATCGGATCAAAGATTTTAAGTGTTACACTATAGAAGTATCAGCAACTGGATTCACAAAGTATAATATTAACACCGCTCTTAATAACAATGGATGGCAATTCACAGTTTGGATAGATACAGTGGAAGAGAATTGAAGTTTCTTTTGTAGAAGATCAAACTCTCACCTATCTCCTCTAGAGAAGAATTTTCAAGTCATTGACCACTGTCGTTGATGGTTAGATCTACTTGTTTCGCCCCTGCATAAACTGTCAAAAATTGAACACACTTCAATATTAAGACTTGGGTTGGTTTATAAGGCATAGAAGAAATTGAACGCAAACTAATTTTAAAACTTTAAAATATTAAGGAAAAATAAGCACGAAAAGCCCTTAAACAATCCTTCAAGTGCAACAAGGTTTTTTTATTTTACAACTTCAAATCCATCAAGATTTAGAGTGCAACACTAAAAATCCGTACCAAAATTATATTTAGTTCTTAGAAAAGAAATTGAACATAGAAAAAGTAATAGTAAAGAGAGATTAATCGAAATGGGTTTGGTATGGAAGCAGAGTTAACCATTTCTGTAAAGGAACGAAAGGTACAGACAACTCGATAGGGGCACTTGACTGAATATTGCAGAGCAAGAGAATATTTGGGGGAAATTTTATTGAAAGTTTTACAATACGCTTATAAAGAGTGACTTTTAGGATGAGTAAACAGAACCCTTTAAAAGCATTGCAATATTTGTGAGTAAGTGTAATAAAATATTTTATAATTTGACAACACTTAAAAGACGTAGCCTTTGTAATTAAAAAATACGCTTTACAAGCGTTGTCTAAATTGTGTGGCCTAAAACTCTCAATAAAGGCCACCCCTTAAAAGCGTGCCCACAAATACTTTTGGCAATGCTTTTCAAGCATTGTCTAAAATTAATGTGGTCTTACGTCAAATTTGTTGTAGTTAAATTTCTTAGTAGTTTAATTTAGAAGAACCGATACCCATTTCTGTTCGGAAGTTAAATCTAGGGGTGGGCATTCGGTACTTCGGTTCGGTATTTAATAATTTCGGTTCGGTATTTCGGTATTCGGTTTATCAATTGTGTATACCAAATACCATACCAAAATATTTCGGTACGGTTCGGTATTTCTTATTTTGGTTCGGTACGGTTTCGGTACGGTTTCGGTTTAATAATCGCTGAATAATCAATGCTAACGCCTAACAGTGCACATGCACAATTGAAACTTTCACTTGTAATAAACTAATAACAGTGCACATGCATATACTGAATTATATTCTGCCAAACACATATAACGCCAGTGCACTGTACACAACTCCAAAGTTTGCCAAATTCTGCCCAACTCCAAAGCTGAAAGAATCAAATTGCATCTGTACACAACTACACATTACAACAGTCTTAACAGATGCAACAGTCAACAGATGCAGCATTCTTAACATAATTAACAGTGAAACAGATGCAGCAGATGCAACAAAATTAACTTAACAGTGCAACAGTTTTAACACTTAATAGTTCACACTTAAACACAGTGCAACAAAAATAGTATTAACACTTAAACACAGTGTTAATACTTAACACTTAAACACAACAGTCTTAACAGAGGGCATCCCTCAACAAAAACAGTCTTTGGATGCTTAATATGATTCCTTAAACCAGTTGTTCCATTCCTCTTTGGATGAACATTATAGACTTGACCACAATGCTTGAACCTAAAAAAAATATAAATCATAAGTTAGAATATAATATTTTGATGATAACAAAACAAAACTACAAAAGTATTAAGTATATCACCAAACAAATAGAGTATTAAACTTACCACTCAAGATGCAAGTTGCAACTATACATCAAACAATGCTAGTAGTGCTTCCATTATTTTCCATATCTATAGATAATTCGACCAAATATGTCATACAAATGAAAAAGCATGATATATTATTTTGAACGAAAATACACGCAAAATATTAAAGCTTACCAAGCTCGAGTTCCTCAAGATACTTCAAGTCTTCTTCAACACTAATAAGATTGTTCTCTTCTCTAAGCCAATCTTGAACACAAATAAGAGCTTGCACACATTTAGGAGTCAATGAACTCCTAAATGAATCAAGAATACGGCCACCGGTGCTAAATGCGCATTTCGACGCCACACTAGAAATTGGAATGGCCAACACATCACGAGCCAACTCCGAAAGAATAGGAAATCTAGGAGCATGTGTTTTCCACCAACTCAAGATATCAAATTCTTCACTAAAAGGTTCTTGTTCTTCACTAATGTATTTATCCAACTCCGATTTAGCACCCCCACCCCCATTGTCTTCCTTTTGTTTCTTCAAGCTAAGCTTAGTCCTTATTTTTGATGCACTTATAACACTCCCACTAGATGTATTAGATGTGTTGCTAGATGAAGTAGATCTAGATGGAGATTGAGGGCAAGATCCAGTTGAATATTTTTTTAGATACTCTCCAAACAAAGAATTCATATAAGCATACACCTCAGCATTTATTTTCTTTCCTTTTTCCTCCCCAAAAAGTTCTTCAAGTGCTCCCTCAACATATTCAAAGTTGTTACGTGGATCCAACACAGAAGCAATAAAAATTATTTTATTCATCTTTTCAGGCTCACCCCAATACTTCTTGAACTTTTCTTGCATTCGCTCAGCCATTTTTCTCAAATGCTCATCCTCACTAGCTAAACACATTTTCAAATGACAAAAAAGTTCAGATACATCCTCAAAATGAGAATTACAAGTGACATAACGTGAACCTGAAACTTTTTTAGTTAGCTCGTGAAATCTTGCAAGAAACTCTATCACATTCCTCACAATCACCCAATCTAAGCAAATGATTCTTCAATCCTGTTGTTCCATTCCTAGATGAATTAGCCGCATAGGCTTGTTTACAATATTGACACCGTGCTTTCCCAACCCCATTAACCTCAAATTTATCAAAATGGTTCCAAACGTCAGACCTAGGTTGCATGGCTTTCCTTTTTTTGGAATCTTGGGTATCAATGGTGTTGGTGTTACTATCTACCGTAATAGGTAAACTTTCACTTGAACCAGCATCACTTACTCTACTTGTATCTGCCATCTATACAAAATTAAACAAATATAAACACAAATTAAAAATCATGGGGTATAAATGCATCACTTCAGTTACATGTAAATCACAAAATTGATCGCAATTTAGGGGCATAAAGAACAGGCAGAGGGAGATGTTATTGCACATTAGAAATACATTAATCATGAGGACCATTGAAAAACACCCCCATGTATTCTTTCAGATCACTTATTCAAGAAGAGAATGCAAAAGCTAAATGGATTTAAAATAGCAGGAAACGGCTCTAGTTGTTCGTATAATGATGGAAGATTTTTTAACTTTTAAGTAGCTTGCAACAGTCATGCAAACTAGTATAGGAGTTAGCTAAAACAATGAACATGAATTCCACAGTAGGTCCACACATAACTACAAACATATGAAGTTCTTATTAGAGCAAACAATATCAGAAACTCCAAAGTAGACTCTTTAAATAACAAAGCAACACACCAAAGTCAATATGCCACAAGATTTGCTTGGAGCACTTCAAAGGTAATGTCAGTTTGCACAGTCAAATCATAGTTCGCACATAATATAAATAAGAAAATGAATTTTATTTCTAAAACAAAAAGACCCTCAATTGATACATCATAACATGCATCCTTTTGTTGAAACAGAATAAAAGTAGAAACAGAAATACTTGAAACAAATAGTACTCAACAGAAGAATCAATAAAATCGGTCTAGAAATCTTCATCAAATTCATTTCCATCGCTAGAAAATAGAAATCGCTAGAAAGTAGAAACATACCTTTGAAAATTGAAATTATCGCAAGTTCACAAGTCGCAACTCGCAACAGCAGCGTGAGTGAGGACTGGGGAGTGAGGAGTCGGAGCTGCAAAGTGCGAAGTCGGAAATCGCCCCAAAATCCAAATCGCCGACGCCAAATCGCCTAGCGCTAGCAGCAGTCTGCTGAGCAGATGAAATTGTCTTTACTCTTTAGCCTAAACCTAATGCCCTAAGTAACTAAGTTAGTATTTAGTAACCAGCTAATAAAGAAGGGTGGGCTTGGGCAGTTGGGCTGGGGCTGGAAATTAAATAAAGAAGGGTGGGCTTGGGCGTTGGGCTGGGGCGATGGGCAGTGGGCTGGATTTTTTGGTCTTTTTAAAAATCGGTATTTCGGTATAACCGAAATACCGAAATTTCAGAATTCTAATACCGAGTCCCGAACCGAAATACCGAAATACTGAAAATTTAGTACCGAATTAGACCGAAATACCGAAAAAACCGAAACCAAAATACCGAAATAATTCGGTCCGGTTCGGAATTCGGTTTTTCGGATTTTATGCCCACCCCTAGTTAAATCTAGTTATTTCGAGTTTCTCTCTCTTAGGTAAAATAGACCCTTATGGTCCAGCCCTTCCCCGAACCTCGCGTATAGTGGTAGTTTAGTGCACCTAGCTGCCTTTTTTTTTCTCTCTTAAGTATTTACCTCAACGCCCATTCTAAACTCTGTGGATTCAACCCCGACTCGCGTTGAATTTATTATTGTAACGACTGTTTCATATTCCTTTAATTGGGGTGTGAATTAGACGTGATCTGCATCACATAGCAAGGACCATCGCCAGGCCTACTTAACTATAAAAAGGCAGCAACGGGGAGAGAATGAAGAACACAATATTGGGACTAAGTTTTGGTTCTTGGAGAGGATTTTCAACAAGGTCAACTATCAACGTATAATATTAATGCTTGATTATGTTACTTTGCTCTCCATAATGTGAAATTTAGCATCACACTTTTGTGATTTGTATAGACATCAAGGAAGCCACCGAAGAACCCTAAAGGGTAGGGTTTTGAATTTGTGAACTTTAAAGGTAATTCCTTCACTTAGACTTGATATTTTATGATCATTAAAGGATGGATTGCATGTTTATAAAGAGTTGTACATAGAATTTATTGACTAAAAATGCATAAGAATGAAATGAGTAACTCTACATCATGCCACCTAGGGGTGTACATAAGTCGGGTTGGTTCGAATTTTGCAATTATCAAAGCAAACCAATTGTGTCGGGTTATTAAATCTAAAGACCAAACCAAACCAATAAAACTCGGGTTTTTCAATCTCGGTTTTTCTTGGGTTTTCGGCTTTTTCGGATTTTTTCCGGTAAAATCTTCGTAGCACAAAACATACAACTTGTTCTTAAAATATTTTTTTAATCCTAGTAATATACAACTATATCATGTATTTTCCAAGAAAATAATACAAAATTTGAGATGTGTCATGGCATTATCCTAAAATATTCAACAATAAAGACCATAAAATTATGTAATATAAATATATATTGCTAATTAGAAAGCATAATAAAAATAAACATAATATAAAAGTACTAAGTCATGCTAAAATAAGTAGACTAATAAGGGAGTATTAATTACATGACTAAACGCTAAAGAAAAATAAAAATAGGTTATACATTTTTATCTAAATTATTGCAAAACAAAAAATAGATATTCAATACATTGTCGTTCGTAGTATTGAATTGAATGTCTTTTGTTAGCATTAGTATTGATTTGATTTTGGTTTTGGCTTTTGATAGCATTATTTAAGTTACTAATATTAATGGCTATAAAACTTATTAGAACATTCAAAAGTTCTAAATCGAACCTTGAAATAATACCTTAGAAGATAAAATTATGAAAAAGTTTAAGAAATATTTATAAATTACATCCCAATAAGTATATTTATATATTAAATATATCTAAAATTTCTATATATGTAATGTCGGGTTGGTTGGGTTTCGGTTTGACTTTCTTTAGTTAAAACCAAACCAAACCAATTATGGTCGGGTTTTTTTTTTCCAACACCAAACCAAATCAAACCAAACCATAGTCGGGTTTTTTTGTCGGTTTGACTCGGATTATCGGATTAGTGCGGTTTATCGGTTTCCTTGTACACCCCTAATGCCACCCCTATAGAATAATGGATTGGTTGTCTTAGGGCCTACTTCAATCTTGATGAATTGAACTTGTTACGCTTTATTTGTTATGATTAAACCCTAATATATGTATATTGTCACTCTTGGATTGTACTATTGGGTTGAGAAGGCCAGAATCATACTTAAGGTCTGGGTAAGTTGAGATTTAACCTTCTAATTATTTTTCTAAAATTCATGCTTCCAAAGTGTTTTAAGAATTTCCTAGATGATTGATTTGAAATATTTTGAGATCAAGTGCTTATGGGGACGAGCGGGTGCTTGATTCACCATATTTGTTGAACGATTTGAGTGTTGACCATGAGACTTAGTGTTTGAATATTGAAATGTCTTTCTTAACGCTCTTGGAGTTTTGTAGCATAATTTGACATAAATAAAGTGTTTACTTGAAAGGTTTTAAATATTTGACACCTTCAAGGTTTGTTTGACGCCTTGTATGGCTTTTAAAACTATTTTATGGTTTGTCGAAGTTGTTTAACTTTCTAAATGTTGATGATCGTTATATTGATATTCAGACATGTTGATATTATTCTGTATAGACCAACAAAGTGGAGCATGCGAATAATCTCGAATTATTTAATGGACCATTGACACGTTGCAAGTCTAAGAACATCGAAGGATTGCACATTAGGAAGTTGCATAATCTTCAAGCGTGAATTAGAAGATGTTTGGAGAGATAATTTGATGATTCATGCAAAGATTAAAACTTCTCGTTGTTGAGCTTGCCGTTAAAGAGTAAGCTCCGGCTGAAGCAATTATAGCAGCTCCTGCATCCATTGATTTTGCACCTTCTAACATCTCGAGTTTAGGATTCTCCTTATGGTCGGGGTTGAGAATTGGGAGGCCGCGCCCTACCCCGTCGGCCTAAGCCTCACTATGAGAACTGATTACCATATTTAGAAGCTTGAAGATTGCTTGGAACAAGTGCCTGAGTGAAGATCATTTAGAAGGTGTTGCATAATAGCGCGAACCCCGTACAATTTTGCCAAACGGGAACTTTCACTAGGAGCCAAAATGTTCATGAACCAAAACAGAAGGTTCAGCGCTATTGCGCCAACCACCATGCAATTGCGCCACTCGTAGCAGGAATTCAAAAAGGGGAATATAAATTTAAGACCCTAGGTTGCTTTCATACTTGAGATTGGACCCTATAAGAGAGAATTAGGATCTCTTGTTTCATATTCAACTTCGGATTACCATTTTTCAATAATTGGAAATTCTTTAGGGTAATCATCTTCTCGTTAACTTACATTTAGGGTTCAATTTCGCCTTCTTTGGAGACGATAAGGTTAGTGAATCGGTTGTTGCCTGAAATGTTCATGTAGGATTTTAGATTTCTTCAATATTGGCTTATACATATTTTCCGTTACTTTTGATCAAAGTTTATCTTTTATTTTTACTTTGAATTGTTTTTGTTTTACATTTCACTATTATTTGTATCTCGGATCATAAAGGTTAGTATCAGAGTAAAAGTTTATGTGTTGTTCTAACCGAGTTGTTGAAATCAAGTTCCGAAAGTAGTTCTATAAAAAGACTATTTGTCCTTTTGGTCTTCATGTTTTCGACTAAGCCCTGTCAAGTTGTTTATTACAATAAGTTGGTCTTGTGACTAAAAAAAGAGAGAAAGATCCAAAAAATTATTGAAGTGTTGTTGGGACTATTATTTGTTGGATAGAAAATGCATCGGATTCTAGTTAAGAATGAATTATTCTATGGGAGAGGGTATATCACTAACGCGTAACTACTAAAACAGTTATTGATCATGCTCAGTGTACTACATCTCATACAATCATATGACTGTTCACACAAGAGTGACATTTGGTAGCCTTAACAAAGCATGAAACCAATGTTATTTTTCAATCATGTTGGTGCACATAGTAGAGTTTTAAGCAGCTAAATCCCATCCCTACCGTCATTTGAGCAGCATATTTTCCTTTCCTTAACATAAGTTGTACATATAGCATAATCAGGGAAGAAATATATTTATTACTATACAAGTAAGATCTGTTCAAGGACAACAACTAGCTGGAGTTGGACACCTCGTAAAAATGTTGCTGCATTAACTTGTACAATGAATACAAATGCCTGACAAAACTTCCGAAACTAACATCATAACATATAATCTTCCCCAGGTTTCACACTAATTTTGAATTACAACCTCTGTATTCAATGAGCTTCAGATGTATGTATAGCACGCATTCCATTTTTACTTCCCAAAGGATGATATACAATGCACCTGGGTTTATGTATGCGCACATCTAGTCAAAGGGGCAGAGTAATGGATTCTTATTTACACGTGCTTCTGACTATTCAACGATTAGCAGTTTCTTTACCAGTAGACTACGATAGTGATGAACAAATTGTACCATTCATTTTTCGCCTTTATGCTGCCGATGAAGAACTAAAGCTGCTTAAGGTATTAGTTGGATATTCCAAAATTATGCACACAATCCATCAGCTTAAATCAAAACCAGCATCAGCATTTATGGCATATAACAATTTCTGCTCCATCTGCTCCTTGCTGCATCATAAAGGAAATAACGGTTACTAGCAGTCTTTTCCGTGATAAAGAATAAATAAGGATGTACACTAACAGCAGTTTAGTTAGAAGCACCATATTAAAGAAACTAGTTCTTTGAAGTCGATACCACTCCAACTACATACTTATTTCTTTTGCTTTTGAAGTTGCATAAATATAACAACAATAGATGTCACCGGGACAGGGCTAACCTTCTATATGGTGGAAGCTTTAAAAGATTCATGCAAGTAGCTGATGTCGGCAATCGATCAAGAGCTTCTTCTGAAGCAGTCCCGCCCGCTCTAATCGGAAGGCAAAAATCAGAAGAAAAAAGGATTGGAAACCAAATTGAGTAAACGCTTGGAACACAGACATCATATAAAAGAGTTAATCCAACCTTTGTATGCAGAACAAAGGCTCCAAATATCTAAATCCAAGCAAGGGTCCTCGTGAACACCCTGTCACAAACCTGGACCCAAAAGGGAAATGTTACATTGTTGATTGAACTCCTACAGAACATTATGATAAACATTTCATAGTGCGTTTTGAAAATTTCTGACACAGCTCGAATACATCTTTTCCCTGTTAGGGGTCCAAAGATGCTACAGCATAGATACTATGAGATAAGTCATTTTCATACATATCCATTTTTGCTCTCTAGGAGATGCTGAAGTCCAGGAGGTAGGATCAACACATTTAAGTGGAAAACTAAAGTTCTATTCAAAAGACAAGTCAAGCTGGTTAAATGCACTAAAGATCATTTAAGCAGATGCTTCGCTTATTCCAAAACAAAAATATAGTGATCACATGGGTATCCAGAAAGAAGGAAAAAGGAGTACTAAAGAAGGTTATTTAATGCCAAAGATATTATCAAAAACAACAGCTTCTTATTCCTAAAGATGCTATTCAGAAAACAGATCATTCACAAGATATAATGAGAAACTAAGAGAATCTCGTAGGGGAAGACATAATGGTGCCATCCACTTATTTCTTTTGGGAAAATATCTTTTGTATCCATAATCAGCATTCTTCTTTTTCTCAGTTCAAAGAAAACCTACTTGTTTGCAGGCATCATTCATTGTCCAGGAAACAATCCACATCTTCAATCGTTAATAGTTTCCACAGACTTGGTCCAAAGAGAGTGAGCAAAAACAGAAGAATTCATAGAAAATCCACATGGATCTTTTCCTAAGTAATTTTCATGAACCAATCGCATTAAGCTCGTCACTGCTGGCACACTCAAGTCATCTTTTCCTACCAAAAACCTTTCCTCACAAAAACCCAACCAATTCAAACTTTTGTACATCCGACTAATTATTCAATCGGACATATGGAAACAAGAAAAATTTTACATTCCGGACAGTTTACTTCGGACAAAAACACAACAAGAAAATCTGAGAAGATATTATAAGAGAGGAAAAAGGACCAAAAAACCACATGTTCCCCTTCCACCCCTTTTGTGTTAGCATACTCAGCTATTTCAATTGAGGACGTCTTCTCAAGTTAACAACAGTGGCTATACAGTGGGTGATCTTGTAAAAATTAAGCAAACCTTTTCAGATATCTGAGTTAAAGATCCATTGATTGAAAAATGTAAAGACAATACTCACAGTACCAAAGAAGCACCAAAATACTGCAATTAAAACAAACCTTTCAGACCTCAGAGACAGAAATCCATCAGATGAAGAACAATCAAAGCACTTTACTAAGAGTAATAAAGAAATGCCAATTCACTTCCCAAATTCATGTTTACCAGGTAGGGACATACTATTTACCACAACATCATGTTTAAAGATGGCAGCAAAGAAACACATAAAGTGCAAGACATCTTATTTCATCCTAATATCAAGTAACTTAAATTATATCCTATGGGCCATTTAAACCAGATTAGCTTTAGCAGTATTAGCAGTTCCCTGTTACCGAACAACAGTGAATCAGAAACATATGAGAAGGGTAATACTTACTTCAAAAATTTCCTCTGATTTTCCAGAGAAAAGCTTTTCACAACCTCCCAGAACATATCGACAATGTAATGTTCCTGTGAGGAGTACTTCAGTTAGCCATGCACCAGCAAAAGGACATACTTCAAAATATAAAAAAATCTGAAAGCATTTATCTGATGAAACAACAATATAGCTCATTAACCTAAACAATTGTTATTTATGCTCCGCTTCTTGATAATTAGAGTCTAGCTTTATTCCAAGGTACATGAGCAGCTTAAAACCCAATCAAACATGACCTAGACCTATCAAAAGAATCATCCATGACGTAATATAGTCGAGAAGAACATAAAATCCATAAGCATTAATAGTTTCATCATCTATAGGAAGAAGAATGATACTCATTTGTTCTTTGCATTACTCTTTCGCAAGCAATCTATCACAAACAATATAAGGACTGTTTGAGGAGATTTTGCCGCTCCTAACTTAGAGACTTTTTAAACATTACTTATTGATTTTTGGTCAAGATTCTATAGAGGGGGGCCTTGTTGACTGTGCTACAGTAGAATGTTTAAGATTGTTCTCTTTCAGAACACCATAAACGGGACGGAGTTTTCTTCTCCTCTATGTAGTGCAAGGTTATGGACTCATGATTTGACTTATCCAGTGAGTTGGAAAGTGTGAGAGTTTAAGACATGGGAAGAAAGAATTTCTTGTATTCATTTGGTCTTACATTAGCCCTATTTATATAGGGTGTTTACATAGAACTAAACCCTTCTCTACAATGTGGGAGACTATACAAACTACTATACATACTAACTCTCTAACACTCCCCCTCAAGCCGGTACATATAAATCATATGTACCGAGCTTGTTACATATGTAACTAATATGAGGACCCGTGAGGGACTTGGTGAAAATATCTGCAAGTTGTTTGACTTCACAAATTTTATAACAATATCTCCGAAGAGTATCTTTTCTCCCGTTAGCCAGCAGTGACGAGCTTAAGTTACAAAGTTTGTAAAGCCAAATGATCAGCTTGCTATTTTCACCAAATCCTTCATTGGTCCTTATATTAGTTACATCTGTAATAAGCTCTGACTTATATGCACCGGCTTGAGGGGAGTGTTATAAAATTAATGTATATAGTAGGCTTCGTCCCACATCGGAATAGTAGTAGTATGTATTATATAGAATGTAGACTTCTTATATTATAGTAAATGAACTAATATCAATAATAATATATTTTCCCGTGCTATTCTCACATTTAGAAGTCAACATTTTCAAATTGATAGTAAAGTTTCTAAGTACCCTCATAAGGTAGGAGTAAGGTCTGCATACACACTACCCTTCCTAGACCCTGATTGTGGGATTACACAGGAATTGTTGTTGTAGTTGATTGGTGTGCTTAATTCTGCTTTTTTCTGTGGCTAATCAAGTTGCACCTTGAGAAATATTGTAACTTGGCTAACAAAATTCTTTTTTATTATGCATGCATCTCCGGAATGCTATCTTTTTTTAACATCAAATATGCTCGGTTAAGGTAAATATTTATTCATATTAATTTTTCGATGACATATAAAGCATATGGTCAAACAATACTTACCGTACTTGCTGCCACATAGGCAACCATATATTGAACTTACAGGATGAATTATAGGGTCAACAACAAGAGTTTTGGTCATGATAGAGCAACCGAAGCGACAAAAGGTACATACACCTAGAAATTCATCTATGAAGAGATATTAGGTGAGATGCAACAATATAACATATTGATATTATTACCTCATACCATAAAATACCTATAACTACAAGTACTACATAACTAACTTATTACTAATTGTTTATCTTTGCAAATTGCAGGTTTAGAAGATATCCAATTATTTAATTCAACTACCCGGCATTGTAGTAAAATTTATTTTTTCCATTTAAATAAATGTTGTCTATATTTTAATGTCAATTGTTATTTCATAAAATTTGTTCTTGTATACAATTTATTATTGATCACAGGCCTTACTTTCTCTCACTTTGGCCAGCATGTACAGCTTCTTATCCCCGTCTTTCTCCCCCAAGCTCTTCATACAGACGTTCAAATGCCACAGTGATCTGGATCAGGGGAGTTGAATAAAAGACGAGCGTGGTAGAGTTTTGATAGATGAGGCACAGATTAGGCAGAGATGACAACCATGCTTCCATAAACTCTTGAATGAGGGGAGGGGGAGGATAAGAACATTGTGCTGGGTGATTTGGAGAACTCAGGGAGTTGTTGGGATTTTGGGTACTGTAGGCGTATAAGAGTGGGGGAGGCCGAAGGAGCGATGCGTAGGGGTAGAACGACTGGGCCAGACGAAATCCCTGTAGAATTTTGGAAGAGTGTGGGTAAGGTAGGCATGGAATGACTCTCTATGTTGTTTAACGTCACTTTTAGCACAAAGAAGATGCCTGAAGAATGGAGGTGGAGTACGATTTACGTTGTATAAGAACAAGGTTGATATTCACAATTGCAACAACTATAGGGGTATCAAATTGCTAAGCCGATGGAAACTTTGTGAGAGGGTGGTAAAAGTGAGGGCAAGGAGAAGTGTGTCTATTTCCGAGAACCGGTTCAGTTTCATGCCGGGTCGTTTGACTACGGAAGCCATTCATCTGGTGAGGAGATTGGTGGAGCAGTATAGGACAATGAAGGAGGACTTGCAAATGGTGGTCATTGACCGAGAGTAAGCATACGACAAAGTCCTGAGAGAGGTTCCATGGAGGCGTTTGGAGGCTAAAGGTGTGTCTGTAGCCTATATTAGGGTGATTAAGGACATATATGATGGAGCTAAGACACGGGAGAGGATAGCATGAGGAGACCACTTCCCGGTTGTGATGGGGTTGCATCAGGGATTAGCTCTTAGGGCGTTTTAATTTTCCTTGGTGATAAGACGCATTGACGCGACACATTCAAGGGGAGGTGCCATGGTGTATGTTATTTGCGGATAATGTAGCTCTGATTGACTAGATGCGGGATAGTGTTAACGAGAGACTGGAGGTTTGAAGACAGACTCGAGCCTAAAGGTTTCAAGCTGAGCAGGACTAAGACGGAGTACTTGGAGTGCAAGTTCATCGACGTTACCCAGGAAGCGAACATGGATGTGAGGCTTGATACACAAGTCATTCCCAGGAGAGGAAGTTTCAAGTACCTTTAGTCAATAATACAAGGGGATGGAGATATTGATGAGGATGTTACGCATCGTATCGGAGCAGGGTGGATGAAGTGGAGGCTCGCTTCCGGTGTTCTGTGTGATAAGAATGTGCTACAGAAGCTTAAAGGTAAGTTCTACAAAGTAGTGGTTAGACCAATTATGTTGTATGGGGCAGAGTGCTGGCCGATCAAGAACTCTCATGTCCAGAAGATGAAAGTAGCTGAGATGAGAATATTGAGATGGATGTGTAGGCATACCAGGTTAGATAAGATTAAGAATGAATTTATTCAAGATAAGGTAGGTGTGGCCTCCGTAGAGGATAAGATGCGGGAGGCGAGGTTGAGATAGTTGGCATGTGATAAATGATGAAAAGTGCATATTTTTGAGTATATTTGCATATTAATTCTTGTGTGTGTCGCGGGAGATTACATGATTTTCAAAGTGAAATATACTCATTATGTGTTTCTTATGTGCAGGAACGAGTTTGGATGATAAATGATCAAAAGATAACAATTCGACACAAAAAGAAGAAATTAAAGGAGTGGGAGCTCGTCTATTCTCGTGCGTGGCACGAAGTCGGACGCGAAAAAGGAGAAAAGTTAAGGCACAAAACAGCGAAGCGAAGCAAAGGCACGGAGCGCTTCGCGAAATGGAAGAATTTCAAAAGCTGGATCCGCGTCAAAGTCCGCGTCTAGACACGAAGGCAAACGCGGATCCGCGTCAAAGTCCGCGTCTGGACGCGAAGGCAAACGCGGATCCGCGTCAAAGTCCGCGTCTAGACGCGAAGGCAGACGCGGATTCCAGCTCTCCCATACGAAGTTGGATTGAAGAATTGCGCCCCTCATCAACCCTAGGTCATATAAATACATCCTAAAACACCACTTTGAAGTGGGAGACACTACTTTAGGGTTAGACAACACCCTTGGAGGCAAGAACACGCTAGGAGCAAGGAGGAAGATTTAACTACGAGTTTTTCCCCTTCTTCTTCCTATTTTATTGTTGGTTATGAATTGGAGTATTGTGTTTTCACATACTTTTATGAATAGCTAATTTATTATCTAGAGTTTTGATGGAACCTTTTGGGGATGAATTGGTTGTTATATTAATATAGTTTTGAGTTAGTTGTTAATCTCTATTTGTTCAACTACGTTTTGATTTTGGTTAATTGAAAGGATCCTCAATTAGCCGTTCCTACTTATTATGTATCTGCTTGAGAGAGAGTGCATATTTAGGTAGTTGTTTGAACAACATCACTCCCGGAGTATAGGCGAGAGTCATAACCGAGGGTTTAGAGGTTGGATTAGAGATAACGATACCTCGGGTGCGATCTAAGTGAACTGTAATATGAATCTAGCTAGCGTAGCTTGAGAGAGTGCGTCTAGTAAATTATCATAATTGCTTGAGAGAGATTTATGATAGCTGGAGAGTTCATGATTGATAGAGGCAACTAAGTCAAAGCTATAAGAAACATACAATTAATGAAATCAACAATTGGGGAAATCATAACTCTAGACCTCCTTAATTTAGTCTCCAAACCTTTGTCTCGTTAGTTGATAATTTTACTGTTTTATAGTATTTGTTGGTTAATTAGTTAGATATAAAAATCTTAATATTATAATTTAGAAATTGTTCAAACTTGTCTTCTTTGCGATATTGAACAATTATAGCGAAACCTTAGTTCTCTGTGGGATTCGACTCGGACTTTTAGACCGGATTATATTTGCAGCGACCGCTTATCCTTTTTAGGACTAGAGTTGGGCGTGATCAGCATTTTAAGAGGAGAAGCCCATGTTAGGTGGTGTGAGAGGTTAGTCTTGGTGGGCATGAGGAGGGGTAAAGGTAGGCCAAAGAAATCTTAGGGAGAGGTGACTAGGCGAGACATGGTGCAACTGAAGCTTACTGAGCACATACCCTTGATAGTAGGGTGTGGAGGTCGAGGATTAGGGTAGTCGGGTAGTAGGTAGCCGAGCGTTTTCCCTGTGTCTCTTCAGTTCGATAGCAATAGTGTTAGTATGATATCTCTTTATTCTTAGATTGCTACTACTACCTAGTATTTAATTGTTATCTTGGCTTTGGTCTTCTCTTCTTATCTTCTTGTTGTTAATTACTTGTTGCCTTTACTTCTTTTCATCCTTTCTTTAGCCAAGAGTCTATCGGAAACAGCCTCTCTGCCCTTCCAGGGTAGGGTAAGGATGCATACATCTTACCCTCGCCAAACCCCACTTGTGGGAATTTACTGGGTTTGTTGTTGTTATTGTTGTTGCGTCATACACGTGCAACGCACGTACACTAAAACTAGTACAGTAAAGAAATAATGACTATGCCACTAGAGGAGCCACTCAAAATAAGTTTTTAAGGTCCCCCTTAACAGAAGTCACAAGACTGTTTGATTTAAAACAAACATTACTCTTAATTTATTTCTAACCTGATGCACACCATGCTTTCTCCGATCCTTTTATCCATTCTAATATAACTTTTCTTTTATAATAGAATTAAAAAGTGAAATTGAAGGTATATACTTCTGCCACTTATTTTTAGAGAAACATACACAATATAATTTATCATGTGGGAACACGAGGCATTTCCCTCGCGAAAATGAGGGACACAACCCATTGCTGACATGTTAGATTCAAACAAATGGGAAACCATTATCACGAGACCCTTTACAGAAGAGATGGAAGAAAGTGAAGCAAAAAGCAAAAGCACCTTATGGTAACCTCCTGTATAATTGGTATGAGCTCGAAGGTCATCAATGTCAATGCCATCAAGTGATCCAGAAATAAGAAGCTGAAAACAGGGCCAAAAGTGAGAGGCAGAAAGCTAGATCTCTTACTCATTAAGAACATAACAACTACTAGAAGTCTAGACCAAAAGAACACCAAAACAATTTTCACCCATTGGATAATTTTTCAGATATGTCATCTTTCAGACAAGTAATTTCAGCAGTTCTCCTGATTATGTATTTTAGCTTGTTAGATAATGAATGTAGACATAATCTGAATGTAGACATAATCTTATGTAATATACATAGCTAGCATAATTATAGGGATTCACAGCAGATTTATAGGATTTCCTTTTTGATTCTTTCCATAGTTAAGGCTCTATGTACTTGTATATATACTTGTTACTTCTTGAATACAAGATGAGAGAGATTTCTCTATTGTCTCTATACTTTACATGGTATCAGAGCCGAGCTTGCAGCTCGCCGGAATTTGTCCGCTGCCTAGCCGGAGTTTGTCTGCCGCCTTGCCGGAATTTGTTCACTGCCACGCCGAAATTTCTGCAAACTTTTGAAGTAACAGTCACAGCCTATCTAGGGGGAATCGCCTCCCTTCGATCTGAAGAAACCCACCGGATTCTAAGTTCTTGAAGTTCACGCGCCACTGATAACTTTCTGGCAGAATTTCGTCGGCAAGCACGTGGAGTCAAATTTTCTGTCCAGCTGATTTCGTTGGCCAAACCTGGTTAGACCATTCCTTTCTGCTTCCTTTCTTTGACTAGTTGTCTGATTTGGTAAGTGCTGTTATTTGGAGAGTTTCCTCTTGGATCAGACTACTTCTCTGATTTGTTGGAGCATATTTTTGGGTCTGATTAGTTATCTGAGTAATTGACTGGTGAGAAGCTTGCATCCTTAATTTTGACTCACTGTGGTGATCAATTAGTAACTTGATATTGTCTGTTGGGTCTTTCCTTATCAGAAACTTTGTTGGTCTCTATTTTTGTTTGAGTTGGGGACAAATTCGTTTGGTTCTCTGATTTGATTGAGTGGATTATTAAAGTTGAATCATGTTCAACAGATTGTTGATTTCGTATCTACCAGGATCTGTTTGAGTATCTTTTAGCTTCGGGGACCTCTGTTAGTTTAATCAGTTTGTTATTGAAAGAAAAAAATGATGGTAAAGAATAATAATGCAGCAACTCCTAGTCCAACAATCTTGGTTTCGGATGAGTTTCTAAAATTCCTTCAATATCATAAATCAGTTAAGGAATCTTCTTCAGTTACTGCCTTGTCTGGGTCAGATAAAACATGTCTTATCACCTCTTCCAATAAATGGGTGATCTCTTCCAATAAATGGGTGATCGATTCTGGTGCTACAAATCACATGACAGGTAATCCAAATATTTTTTCTAGCTTTCGCTCACATAAAGCACCCTCTCCGGTTACTGTAGCTGATGGATCAACTTGTAGCAGTGTTGCATCTGGGACTGTTAAACCAACTTCCTCTATTACCCTGTCATCTATATTAAGTCTACCAAACTTGGCCTTTAACTTGATTTCTGTTAGTAAAATTACCAAAGACCTTAATTGTTGTGTTGCATTCTTTCCCGGTCATTGTTTGTTTTTAGATCTTAAGACGATGCGGGTTATTGGTAAAGGATATATATCTGGTGATCTCTACATTCTTGATGAATGGGAGCCACGGTCTGTTGCATGCTCTAGTATCGTGTCTCCTTTTGAAGCACATTGTCGACTTGGACATCCCTCTTTGCCTTTGTTAAATAAGCTCTGTCCTCAGTTTCAGAATATTTCATCATTGGATTGTGAGTCATGTCGATTTGCAAAACACCATCGCATCTCGTTAAGTCCAAGGGTTAATAAACGAGCTGAGTCAGCTTTTGAGTTGGTCCATTCTATCATTCTGATGTTTGGGGACCATGTCCGGTTGTTTCTACAACTTGGCATAAGTATTTTGTCACTTTTATAGATGATTTTTCTCGAATGACTTGGATTTACTTTATGAAGAGCCGCTCTGAAGTGTTTACTCATTTTTCTGCCTTTTGTGCTGAAGTCAAAACTCAATTCAATGCTTCAGTACGTACTCTAAGGAGTGATAACGCTAAAGAATACATGTCAGAGTTATTTCAGTCCTACATGAGACAACATGGTATATTACATCAGTCTTCATGTGTTGATACACCCTCTCAAAATGGAGTTGCTGAGAGGAAGAATAGGCATCTACTTGAGACAGCTCGAGCACTTTTGTTCCAAATGAAGGTTCCTAAACAGTTCTGGGCTGATGCGGTTTCTACGGCTTGTTTTCTGATTAATCGCATGCCATCTAGTGTACTCGATGGTAATGTGCCTTATAGTGTTCTTTTTCCGAATAAGTCATTATTTCCGGTGGAACCTAAGGTGTTTGGAAGCACATGTTATGTTCGAGATGTTCGACCATCTCTTACCAAGTTGGATCCCAAGGCTGTGAAGTGTGTTTTCCTGGGCTATTCTCGCCTTCAGAAGGGGTATCAATGTTATTCTACTGAGCTTGGCAAATATTTAGTGTCAACTGATGTGGTATTTTCAGAGACTACACCATTCTTCTATGCACCTCCCATTTCTACAAGCCAGGGGGAGGAAGATGAGTGGCTAGTATATCAGGTTACCCGTGCTTTGACAGAACAATCAAATGATACTCTTCGATCTCCCAGTTCTTCTATTAAGCACCAATCGACTATTATGCCTTCAGTACCTGCTCCAACAAGACCTGCAATTGTTCAAGTTTATTCGCGGAGGCGAGAGACAAATGATACATGTCCCGCACCAGTTCCTGCATCATCTGATTCTTCTTTGCCTGATCCTCCAGATAACCTTGATCTTCCTATTGCTCTTCACAAAGGTACACGTACTTGCAAATCGACATATTCTGTTGCTAACTTTGTTTCCTATGACCACTTATCCTCTACGTCTAGATCTATGATTGCTTTTCTAGACTCAATCTCCGTACCCAAAACAGTGCAAGAGAGGCTTTGAATCATCCCGGATGGTCTGATGCAATGCTTGAGGAAATACATGCTTTAGAGGACAACCACACATGGGGTTTGGTAGATTTACCAAAGGGAAAGAAACCAGTGGGATGCAAGTGGGTCTTTACAGTTAAAGTTAATCCAGATGGTTCTGTGGCAAGACTTAAGGCCAGACTTGTGGCGAAAGGGTATGCTCAGACTTATGGGGTGGATTATTCTGACACCTTCTCCCCGGTTGCCAAACTCACTTCTGTCCGCTTATTTATTTCTCTAGCTGCGTCCGAGAATTGGCCTTTACATCAGTTGGATATCAAGAATGCGTTCCTTCATGGTGATCTTCAGGAGGAAGTGTATATGGAGCAACCACCCGGTTTTGTTGCTCAGGGGGAGTATGGGAAAGTCTGTCATTTGAAGAAGTCCTTGTATGGCTTGAAGCAGAGTCCACGAGCTTGGTTTGGCAAGTTCAGTGAGGTAGTTCAGGAGTTTGGGTTGAAAATGAGTAAGTGCGATCACTCAGTCTTCTATCGGAAATCAGTAGCTGGGACTATTCTCCTCGTTGTATATGTTGATGATATTGTTATCACAGGAAGTGACTATGCTGGGATTTCTTCCCTCAAGTCTTTTCTGCATACTAGGTTTCATACAAAGGACTTGGGCCAGTTGAAATACTTTTTGGGAGTAGAAGTAAATAGAAGCAAGAAGGGAACTCTTTTGTCTCAGAGAAAGTACATTCTTGACTTGCTTGCAGAAACTGGAAAGTTGGCAGCTAAACCTTGCAGTACTCCAATGGTTCCTAATGTGCATCTTATGAAAGATGATGGTAATCCTTTTGACGATCCAGAGAGATACAGGAGGTTAGTTGGGAAATTAAACTACCTTACTGTGACTCGTCCAGATATTGCTTTTGCAGTAAGTGTTGTTAGCCAGTTCATGTCTGCACCAACGGTCAAACATTGGGCAGCTTTGGAACAGATTTTGTGTTACTTGAAAGGAGCTCCTGGACTTGGCATATTATATAGCAATCACAATCATACTCGTATTGAGTGTTTTGCAGATGCTGACTGGGCTGGATCGAAAATTGATAGAAGATCTACTACAGGTTATTGTGTCTTTGTTGGAGGAAACCTGGTATCATGGAGGAGTAAGAAGCAAAGTGTTGTATCTCGATCTAGTGCAGAATCCGAGTATAGAGCTATGTCACAGTCTACATGTGAGATTATGTGAATACATCATCTGTTGACTGAAATTGGGTTAGAGCATCCAATACCAGCAAAACTCTGGTGTGACAATCAAGCTGCCCTCCATATTGCGTCAAATCCGGTGTATCATGAAAGAACTAAGCGTATTGAGGTTGACTGCCATTTTATTCGTGAGAAGATTCAGGAGAACTTGATCTCCACTGGCTACGTGAAGACAGGAGAGCAACCGGCCAATTTGTTCACAAAGGCGTTGAATGGAATTCGAGTTGAGTACCTTTGTAACAAGCAGGGCATGATCAATATCTATGCTCCAGCTTGAGGGGGAGTGTTAGATAATGAATGTAGACATAATCTGAATGTAGACATAATCTTATGTAATATACATAGCTAGCATAATTATAGGGATTCACAGCAGATTTATAGGATTTCCTTTTTGATTCTTTCCATAGTTAAGGCTCTATGCACTTGTATATATACTTGTTACTTCTTGAATACAAGATGAGAGAGATTTCTCTATTGTCTCTATACTTTACATAGCTTTTGGATACAGTTTACCTTTCATTCTGAAATTTGCATGTCAAACTTTCTTTTTCATCTTCTTAGGCAGCATAAGGAACAACTATTTCTCAATATATTGGTGCTTGAAATTCAAATCTTTCAGGCATCTAGAAAATCCTTCTTTTCTAATCTTGTTCTTTCAGAATTGCTCAGGCTTTTTCCATCAAATCCTCTATTCTGAGCAAAATTTCTTGACAGACTACGTCATTTACTAGCTCTTTGTAAATGGCTGAGCTAATGCCAAATTGCCAATAACCTTACTACATAAAGCCCTACAAGTAGCTTCATCCAGAGTAGTCTATCATGCCTTCGTTGCGTAAGCAGGTTGGCCTGGTTTACTTTGTTAAGATATATATAGGCAGTTGAGATGCATGGGACAGGCAATTTCCTGAATTTCAAGTGCTGACAGGGTATAGCATGCTCAGGATATATTTTAGACAAGGCTAATGTCGTTTATTATGTTTTCTTCTTATAAAATGATACAACCAACAATGTTTCTGATGTGAAAGCATGTAATGTGTAACAGAAGTATAAATGCTAGCACCTGAAGTTCATGTTCATTAAACATGTCAATCCACTCCTTTTGTATTAGCTGTTGGAAGCCCCTCAGAAAATGAGAACTTTGCTGACGGATCTAGATCATCACAATTAAACAAAGTAAGCAACAACTCTAAAAGAGATATGAGGCCCACCACAGGTAAAATGCCTTGAAAGAGACATTGTAATATGCAATGTGCAGGCTGGAAAAGAAGCAAGACCAAAAGTTAAATAACCTGAAAGTTTAAACGATGGTTGGCGACAAGATGAATAAAGGTGATGACATTCTCACTAGTTACACGTATGCTTTTCCCACCAGGAAGCAGCTCCTCTTCAGTTTGCTCCCCATACTCATTGTTGACAATGACGAAGTACAACTCTAGATTTGAAACATCACCTTCGTAATGCTGAAATTTCAGAAACAGGCAAAGAGAACGATTCAATGAGCTAAAGAAATAGGTAATACGTAGAAGATAAAATGATTTACAAGAGATAAGGAAGACACCATGCCAATAGCACCCAGTCAACATCAACACGGCTGCCCCTAACCACATTTTATTTTTCAGTTTTCTCCATAGGGCTCGCCTATCCTTTTGCAGGGCCTGGGATTTTTCCCCATTACAAGACCAAAGACTAACAGAAGTAAAATATTCATAACTCCCACTCCTCACATCCTTAGAACATTACAAAAGGAAATATATGTCCGTTATTATGCCTTAGGAAGTGACACAGATGAAAATAACACAACTCTCCTTTCGAAGAAAAAATGAGGATGGCCTTTAGTGTTAGAGAACCCCTAGTTTGTCTTTAAAGACAAAATATAAAATATTGGACTGAAATGGGTAGGCGAAATGCATATTGAAGATTTGGATAGCTGACCCCGCCTAGTTTGACATTGATGCACAGCAGTTGTTGCTGTTAATTTCTGAATTTCTTGCACAGGCGATTTCTTTATGGTCTTTGCTTTTGGTTATGGATCAAAATTTACATTCCGACCAGTAATACTCGTGTGATTTGGTAGTATTATCAAGGAATCTCGTTATAAGATCGTACCAGGTCTAAGAGTGGTGTTGACTAATAATGATTTTGAGGTATTTCTCTTTCCTTTATTATTTTGGTCTTTGTCTCTCTTCTTTCTGTTTTTGGGTTGGTCAACTTTGTGAATGGTTTTCTAGCCCCTTGACTGAGCCTAAATAGTTGGTAAATTAGTGTTATCGAGGAATCTCGTTATAAGATCTAACCAGTCAAGGGGCTAGAAGACCAATCAAAAAGTTGTCCAAACCCAAAAACAGAGAGAAGAGAGACAAAAACCAAAAAAATAAAGAAAAAATGAACACCTCAATACCATTATTAGTCAAAACCACTCTTGACTTGGTAAAATCTTAAAACGAGATTCCTCGATAACACTAACTTACCAATTCAGTAAAAAAAAGTGCAAGAAAATATAAACTAAGGATGAGAAATACAAGATAAGAAGCAGCAACAGCTTGAAACACACTCCGTCTTCAACAATGGAAAATTGATTGCCATCATGAGCTTACAAGGAAACCATGAATCCTGATTATAAAGGATTTCACCGTCCAACCACCTTTGAAAACTTTTTCCTTGAAACAAAGAACTCATGGTTGTCCAAGTTGCACAGTGTAAGAAAAATGTTAGATAGTTATGAAAATAACCCTAGTCCCACATAGAATGGGAGTAGAATATGTATTGTGTATAGTTATAAATAGTGCTATTGTAAAAACACTTGATAGAATATCAATAACAGATTTTTTTCTCTCGTGCATTCTCACATGGTATCATAGCATTAGTGAGAAACTTATCGTTGTGCATCATTCCAGCGTCCGAGAAGAAAGACCTTGTCGCCGTGCAATTTTTCGACAACTTAAGAGGTTGTCCGCAACAAAATCACTTTCCATTGGTGTTGTGCAAAAACCAACACCACTACAAGACCCCTCAGGCTACGGCAACCAAACCACATTCAACCCCACGAGAAAACACCTTCCCACGCGCCCTCACATGCCGGAAAAGGGAGAAATTTGCTCGCTGACCCACACGCCGGCGCATGAGGCCTGTTTCGGCCAGGTTTTGAAAAAGTTTCTGTTGAACAGTGTGATCTACTAGTAATTCTGGGCCTACCCATACCTTTTTCTTTTTATTCCGATCACTTTGAGATTATCCCGACAACTACACTAACTTTCCGGTGGTTACCGTGATTTTTCTGACGAAGGTTCTTTTGGACAGATTACTCAAGGAGGTTATTCTGAGTCTGTCCATTCAAGTTTCATCAATTTCCGACAACCTTTTTATTCTCCGGCGAGTGAACAGTGTTTTCTCAACGAAAAAAAAAAGTGTTCTGATTTGGCATTCCAAGGTTAACCATACAACTTTTAGTCAAGAATTTGAGAAATTGGCTGTAGAAAAATGGGATCGAATACTATGAATGGTTGGATGGTTTCTCTATCGAATTATATTGAGCTCCTTAAGTACAAAGCATGTAAACATACATCTTCAAAGATAGCTTCCATTGTTCAAACAGGTAATACGTGGTTGTGTGGTGAGTGGTACTTGGGAGCTTGTTCCTCTTCCTTCGGGTAAATCTATTGTTGGTTTTCGTTGGGTGTATGCAGTCAAAGTTGGTCCAGATGGCCAAGTTGATCGCCTTAAGGCCCGTCTTGTTACCAAAGAGTATACTCGGATATTTGGGCTCGATTACAGAGATACTTTCTCTCCCGTGGCTAAAATAGCATCAGTTCACCTTTTTCTATCCATGGATGTTGTTCGCCATAGGCCTCTCTATCAGTTGGACATTAAGAATGATTTTCTTCACGGTGACCTTGTGAAGTCGAATTATCAGCTTGCAGATATTTTCACCAAGTCCCTTACTGGTTCCTCGTATTAGTTACATATGTAACAAGCTCGGTACATATAATATGTATGCACCGTCTTGAGGGAGAGTGTTAGATAGTTATGAAAATAACCCTAGCCCCATATAGAATAGGAGTAGAATATGTATTGTGTATAGTTAATAGGGCTATTGTAAAAATACGTAATAGAATATCAATAATAGATTTTTTTCTCCCGTGCATTTTCACAAAAACTTGAATAGAATGAAAAAAACGAAAAAAAAGTTAGGGGGTTGGGGGGGGGGGGGGTCAAACAGTCTTTCTATAGCATATGTCTAGTTGTCCGTATGTACACTACGAAACGCGAAAGAAAAACTACTTTAAC